AAAAAAAAAAAAAAACAGTAGCACATTCAAATATGCCTCTATTTTACGTAAAATTATACTGCAATTTGCAGCGCAACTCTATTTTTATTTTTTTTTTGGTACAAAGGAGAGGTTAGTGCTAGAAGGCGCTAGCAACAGGCATTCCGTGGGTAAGAGACACCTCTAGCGTCGTGCTCTAGCCACGGAATGACACCGGATGGTGGAACTAATAGACGATGAAGACCGAGAGAAACTGAGGCTGCCTGAGACGCCAAGTAATCCGCTGCAAAATTCGCCTCTCAAAAAATATACAAAATCTTAACCTGTCAGTCCTGACTGAGTGGTTCTCGTATACCTAAGACCAAGCTAGAATGCACACCAGTTATATCCTCTGTGTTATTCGCAAAGCCTACAACGTTGCCATTGTCGACTTTCGTTGCAACCTGAAGATATCCCATATCCCAAACCATACATTAACGTAAAGGTGATTGACTAAAGATTGACGAAACCCATTTCGTTTAAAGGAGATAGTACTTTTTTTTTTGGTACAGGGAAAAGGAGATAGTACTTTAACTAAAGATCAGTGATTACTCCCATATTTACCAACAATACAAGCTATATTAGCCAAACTCCGAACTCCCATACAAAGAACATATATATAGATTAACCTAAAAATAAAAAAATAAAAAAAAAATAAAATAAAGGAAAAAAACTACAAAAGCCCTATAACTGGTGAATGTGCAAATATCAACTTCTCCTTATTTGCAGCATAACCCCAGCTCTGGGAAATGCTCTTTCTCCTGGGCTTGGCCTCGCCCAGCATCGTAACAATATCCCTCATCGATGGCCGGTCCTTGGGGAGCTTAGCCGTGCACAAGAGTGCAATCCTTAGCACAAGACTCATCTCCTCTTGCACGTGCTTGCATTGCCCCGCAATATCCCGATCAAGTACCGACGCAGTCTCGTTTATTTTCATCCGCACCCACTCCACAATGTCAATGGACTCACCAAAACAAGGGTCTAACGCCATTTTACCCGTCACCAGCTCCAAAAGTACTACCCCGAAGCTGTATATGTCGCTCTTTTCATCTACTTTCAATGTGTACCCATACTCTGTAAGCACCAAAATCTAAACTTAGTACAAGTACATTATTTTCTTTTATATTTTTGGCTATGAAAATTAAAAATAAATAAATAATGGAAATGACTCCAGTCCCTGTCACTGATTGATTGTGTCATAGTCATGGATTATCTAAAGGCTAGTAATAACCACAAAATGATGTAATGATTCCCATAAATAATATCAGTTTCAACTTTTAGAAATAGATATAAGGTAGGTAGGTACCTGGTGCTATGTACCCATACGAGCCGGCTATCATCGACACAGTCTCATTCTTGCGCGCCATCGTCCTAGCCAGCCCAAAATCCGCAATCCTTGCCTCGAAATCCTCGTCAAGCAATATATTATTCGACTTCACATCCCTATGAATAACCGGGGGACGACAATCATGGTGTAGATAAGCAAGCCCTTGGGCCACGCCTTGTGCCACATTATACCTCGAAACCCAATCCACAAGCACTTTTCCCGCCTCTTTCCCGTGCAGGGCCGAACCGAGGCTCCCGTTAGGCATATACTCATAAACCATCATAATATCTGTCTCGTTATGAAGGTACCCCAAAAGCCTCACAATATTCCTATGTCTCAACTTGCCCAAAATGTCCACCTCAGCAAATAGCTCGTCCCCTGTCTCAACCGACGATCTCCACAGCTTCTTGACTGCAACAGTTGTTCTCGGCCGTTGGATCTCTGCCCGGTACACGACTCCATTCCCGCCTACTCCAATCACGTTCGACTCTTTTAAACACGCCAAAATCTCAGTGCTCGTGAAATTAAGCCTCTGAAAGCCAACGAGCCTCCACGGCCACTCGGGAAGGTTCTTCTTCTTCTTGAACCAGTCCGTGAACGAGTAGTTGCCAGTGCAGAGGTACCACTTTTTGTACACCTGTCGCCCAGCGAAAATTACGAGCCCTGCAGACAAAATTACTGAAATGGCCACTGCAAACCCAACAGCTATGTGATTCGTGTGGGCCTTCTTGGGCTGAGGCCCGCTGGTGAAGTTGGCTGGGCACGGCGGGAGTATGGCCCCACAGAGACCAGCATTGCCTATGAGGTCGTCCGGGTTTATAGTGGTTAAGATGCCCTTGTTCGGGATTTGGCCCGTGAGCTTGTTATGGGACAAATTCAGCATCTCAAGAGCTGGGGAGTTACCAAAACTATCCGGTATTTTACCCTCAAGAACGTTGCTCGATAGGTCGAGAATGGATAGAGTCGGCATATTGGCTAAGGCTCGTGGGATCTCGCCGGTGAACTGATTGTTAGCGAGATTTAAGGTTACCAATTTCTTGCAAGAAGCAATGCTGTGAGGAATGTTGCCCAAGAAATGGTTGTGAGAGAGATCGAGCATGTAAAGGGAAGGGCAATCTTGGAATTGATCCGGTAAGTTTCCACGGAGGTTGTTACCGGAGCCATTGAATGTTTGAAGGGTAGAAACGGAAAAAATGCCCGAGGGCAGAGACGAAACCAAGCGGTTCCTCGAGATGTCGATAAAGGAAAGCGAAGTGGAAAGAGTAAAATCTCGAGGAATCTCACCGCTAAAGTTGTTATTACCTAATTCGAGCCTCTCGAGCTTCGGAAGTGTGCCGAGGCCGAACGGGATGGAGCCCGACAGGTTGTTGTTTTGGATTCTAACACGAACCAAGGACGAGCAATTGGAAAGGCTGGTAGGAAAAGGACCCGAAAAATAGTTATCAAAGAGTATGAGTTTTGTGAGGTTACCCGAGGAGCACATTCCGGGAGGGATTTCGCCGGAAAGTGAATTTGTCGAGACATCTAACCATTGCAAAGGCGAGTTTCTTCCAAGGTTTGCCGGCAAATGCCCTGTTAACGAATTCTTCCACAGCTCGAGAATTTCGAGTCTTTTCAACTCTCCGAGTTTCTCAGGAATCCGGCCACTCAGATTGTTACACATAAGGTTCAGCAGCTGGAGATTTTTCAAGTCTGCCAGCTCGTTCGGTATTCTGCCCGAAATTTGATTGTCCGAGAGATCCAAATACAGTAACGACGTCAAATTTCCGAATTCCGGCGGGATATTCCCTCCAAACTCATTCTGGTACAAATACAACGTTGTCAAGTTTTTCAACTTACCTAACTCAGGTGGAATTTGACCACTCAAAGTCCCAACAGCCAAATCGAGATACCTAAGACTACTTAAGTTACCAAACTCGGCTGGAATCGGACCTTCGAATTGATTGTACCCGATAATCATCGTCTCCAAAGACGACAGCTGGCCGAGCTCGACCGGAATCCTCCCCGTGAGATTATTACCGGACAGGCCAAGAAACCTCAACTTTCGCAAGCTCTGGAAAGATTTCGGTATTGGGCCCTCGAAAAAACTTCCCCTGAAATCAAGGCTCTCGAGCGAGGACGAAAGCCCGAGATCTTCCGGAAGTGGGCCCTGGAAATTGTTGCTGGAGGCATTGATGCTGATCAGGCCGGGGAATCTTCCGAGCCCGACCGGGAAACTACCAAAAAAGTTGTTCTGGCTGACGTCAAGCATTTCCAGTGACGTTAAGTTTTGAATTTCTTGGGACACGTGGCCGCTGATGTTCATGTTCGATAAGTCGAGCTTTATGACGCGGCCTCTGGAGTTGCAAGAGACGGCCGTCCAGTTGCAGAAAACGGCGTCGTCGGCCGAAAATTTCCAGTCGTTTAAACGATCGAGAGGGTCGGTTAATTTCGATTTGATGGCTAATAGAGCTGTTAATTGGGGATGGATAGGAGGATTTGGAGTTGTTCCATTGGCAAAAACAGGATGCAAACCAATGGAACAGTAGAGGAACAAGTAAAAAATGTGAAATTTCATTTTTTTTTTTTTTTTGGTTTATTATTCTTCTTGTTCCTTTTTTTTTTGGTTTGCTCAGTTCTCTTGGGTCATTTTAGGTGTTTGGAAGGAAGGTTGTGTGGGATGATGGAGGGAGAGAGAGTTTAAATGAATGAAATGTGATGTCAATGATTGGGCAATAAGTTAGTTATTTTATTGTTATTTTATTTATTTTTTGTGAATTCAATAATTTAGTTACAATCATCATGTTAATTATTAAAAGGAATAGTTGCAGAAATAGCCATCATTTTAATCATCAGTTTAATTATTAAAAGTAGAATCCAATTACTTTTAAGAAGATGTTACGGTCCCGCTACGTAACCACTCCGTCGGAATTTGTAACCGCTAGATCATCATGTAACCATCAGATATAGGTTACAGATCCCGACGGAATAGTTTAGTAACGGGCGCGTAGCCTAAAAGTAACATGATTCTACTCTTATGTAATAATACCACATTTAAGTTGAACTTTGTAATGGTTTATGGTTAAAGCAGTATGCACATCAATGGCACTATTTGGGTTTTTCCATAATTAGACCATACTCCCTCTTATTTTTTTTAAATGTCATTCTAGTTTTATTAGCTATTTGACAAATAAATGTTGTTTTAGATATTTTCTACATATTTTTCCATGATAACCCTCATTTAACTAATAAATACATTACGTCTTTTCATATCCACTCTTCACTTTTTCTCAAAATATTCATCTTTATCCGGATGTGGGGGATAAATATATCAATATATTCTGGTATTTGGCTGCAGGAATGATTAATCAGTTATGAATGATTGGTTTAATGGTAGTATGTGAAATCCTCGGGATGCTAAACAGCTGATATTGTTATTGCTGTAAAAGCTTCGAACAACAGTCCCGAGTCCAAACATTAAAACATGCAACTAATTATATGTATGTAAGTTAGTTTTTTGTTAAATTAATTACATAAAGAGCAGTTTTGTACTTGCCTTATAATTATGACACATTCCTTATAAAAACAAGTCAATCCAAAACAAGGTTAATGGTGTTTTATCCCGACTTGCTATGTAGCCAACAGTTGGCTCCATAGTGGAGCCAACTTTATATATACAACAAGTAAATTTACCATATCCTCTGATTAATTAAATAACACTAATATAATTTTATTAATATGTTAGGTTTATTTGTTGTATATAGAAAGTTGGTTCCACTATGGAGTCAACTGTTGACTTCATAACAAAACCGGTGTTTTATACTCTTTTAACTATACTACTCGTACAAAAATATGGAAGGCGGATTATTATAAAGTAAGCAATAAAAAATATAAATAAAATTATAAAGCATATTTTAGTCAATGAAAAATAAGAACAATTCTAGGTCATTTGTATCAAATTTTCACACATAAGCCCCAATTCTAAAATGCGAAATTCTCATTCGTATTCGGCCATTCTACTGACGACATGAGTG